TCCGCAGTTGTCGGATGCGGCCACCTCTCGTCAGAGCCGCTGTCTCAAAAAAATGCATCGATGCAGCGACATTGAGAGGCGGGTCAAGCGAACCGATCCGCGTGGGCGGCAAACTCCACCCTCCTACTTGCTGCGCCCATCATGGTTCAGAGCGGAAGCCGCCTCCACCCCTTGAGTTCCCATCCTTCCCTCCCGCCACCCCTCCCCGACTAACGCCCGAACCGCGAGCCTGCAGCACGCAGTGCTCCTGAAAAAAACATCCTCGTGCTGCGCAATGCGATGCAAAACTCTGCGCCTCCAGGCTGTGGACTCAGCAAGTCCTGCGCTTCTTAGAAGCGTCGGCCTCCTTGCTAGTGGGTGCACCTGGCTTGACGAATAGCTCGCTCCCCGCAGCAATCTTCCTAGTGTTCGTCAGCGTGGGGATCGTCACTTCAGAGTGGGCGGAGCGCTCTCCAATGATGACCTGTATCTTCACGGACACTGTCGAGCGAACCATATTCACAGCAGCACTGTCAGGGTTTGAAGCCACGCACCAAAACGGAACGACGAATGTATTGCTCTCATCGCTCTGGGGGGACGGGGCCTCAAACTTCGGGGACACGTACACCTTCGTATCGATATCCTCCAGCGCCGACGGCACCTCGACAGCGTTTGCGGGCACTTTCGTGTTGTGGGAGATAAATGGGGTAAAGGGGACTAAGATGAGCTCACCCTTCTTATAACCAGTGTTGCTCACGACCTTCTTCGACATCTTGGTAGATACAACGGTGACATCGGCGCGGTAGCGCACGAAGGCGTGCTTCAGCGCGCATCGCACATGGGGGGGCAAGCACTACATGGGGGATCCTCCTCATCCTCCTCCGTCACCCCTCCTTCCCTCGTGGGGTTTACCTGACTGGGGTGCACGGAACCTTCGGGCAGGGCCCTCCGTTGGGCCCAGAATGAGTCCAGCCCGTTGGACCCCAAGACTGCGTTGACCAGGTCTCCGCCGAGTGCCCAGCCCAGCCAGTCCTCCTCCTCATCATCATCATCCTCCCTCTTATCATCCTCCTCCTCGCCGTCCTCATCCGCATCCGTATCATCAGTGGCAAAGCACGGCAAGGCACGTGCACCTGGGCCTTGAACTCCTCGATCACGCATTGGTCGTTATCCAATGCCTGCTTGAACACGTTGGACACATTGGTGATGATCTCGGCGGGGACGGGGACCAGCTGAGAGCGCTCTTAATTCTTCGTAGTCGTCGTTCTCCTCGGGGAGAACGACGACGACGAAGACGACGATCGTCGTCCTCGTCGTCGTCACCGTCTTCATCGTCGTCGTCGTCCTCCTCCTCCTCCTCCTCCTCCTCGTCGCCGTCGTCCTCGTCGTCGTCGTCGTCGCCCTCGTCGTCGTCGTCGTCCCCGATCGTCGTCGGCGTCGTCCTCGTCGTCGTCACCGTCGTCGTCGCCGTCGTCGTCGCCAACGCCGCCGTCGTCTTAAGGTCGGCTACTCGTTGAACAGCCGTTTTTTTTTTTAAAAGGCTTTTCAACGAGTAGCCGAGAGGCTTCATCCGCCCCCCTCGCGCAGATTGTCGTCATTGTCGCCGACGTTACCGCCATCGCCGCCCTCACGTGGCTATCAACTACACGTATACGTGCAGTTGATAGCAGCATGAGGGCGGAGAGATCAATCAACAAAAAAGCAGCCTCCCACTCGTCCACCACGCAGCCGAAAGACACGACCAGCTCCATCTTCTCCACAGGCGTGCTGGACGTCTTCTGCTTCCGCCGACGCATGTCCTCGTCCCACCACTCCTGGCTCACGAGCGTGGCCTTGCCGCTCTCGAGGTTCTGGATGACGCGCACCGTCTTGTGGTCAGTCTTATGCCACACCCTCTTACCAACAACGAGGCCATTGTTCTGCATCACGCGGTCGCTCAGCGTGCCGCCCTTGGAGAACTGGACGACGCCAGCGGACGCGGCCCTGCGCTCGTTGATGTCCTCCTCGGCCTCGGCCTCGAACGGAGCCGGCTTAACCTCCATGCATTGCGGCTGCGCCGCCCGCGCATCCACCATGAACTGCGCGTGGACCTCATTCAGTGTCTCGTAGTTCTTCGTGGATTTCGATTTTTTCTTGAGGCACGTCATGATTGATCTCACTTGCATGTCCCCGATCAGCCTGGCCGAAACTCCAGGGTCGATGCCAGGTACTTTTGATAGCCATGCCTCCGCGACCTCCGTGGCGGTGCAAATCTCCAGGGCGTCGGCTTTCAGCTTGCTGGCGGGCTGGCTGAGCGAGGAGAAGTCGGAGCTGCTGATGAGCTTGCTAACCCCGTTCTTGACGTACTGCGCTGGGCACACCATGCATGCTTTCACGCATGCGCCAATGAAGGTAGGTCCCTGTAGGAACGGCACCTGTGATAGCATCTTGAACGTGGTCCCATGCACGTCGCGCATCTTATCCCCGACGCACTTCGCATATGCAGCGACGTCTTGCAGCAACGGTGCATTGTCTCCACCGCTGTACACTTTCAGAAACTCGATCATGTCGCCAACTTGGCCGCGCAAATGTGGTTTTGTCTTCTCCATCGCCTGCTCGATATCTTTCCACTTGTAGCTTTGGCAACTCAGCAAATTCCTCTGGCCCATGCCGTGAACTTGCAAGAGTGCTTGGATCTTCGACTGGGTGGTGCTCGTCCCGTGGTCTGCGTTGCCGCCCTCCACGAACAGCGTCGGCAGCTCTGGGAACGCCTCCTCGACCTCGGCCCTGATCACAAACCACGTGTACCCCTCGGTGCAGGGCTTCCTGAGAGAGTCGCAGAGGGCAAACGCCTTCTCCTAGACGGAGGGGTGACCAGCAACAGCGTACGCGCGCCACGGTTTCAACCCAAGGGTCGAAACTATGGCTCGCGTGCGCTGTTGGCTGGTTACCGCCCCTCCGTCCTGGACTATCTTGCCCGTCTGGTCAGTGATGTGTTCGTTCTCGCTCGTACAGCCGAAGATGATGCACCGCAACAGCTGCAACGTGTGGCTGCCAGCAACGGTCAAATACTTGCAGTCTGCAGGGTTCACATCTGCAAGCCCTCCACTGCTCGATGTGGCAAGTGTTTTGTTGAACTCTACTTGCTTCTTGAACTTCGATGGGTCTTTGGAGACCTCGAAACATACAGATTCACGAGTCTTTTCAATATCAAACCCAATTGAAAGAATCATGTTGAGTAACTTGTGCACTGCGTCGCTGTCAACTCCGATACCGTGCCGATTTTGAAAATGACAATTCAAGCTTTTCGCTGGTATGACAAGCTCATACGCCAGGTCGTGCTGCAGAAGCATCTTCTTCAGGTTGCTCAGGGCTGACGTGATCTGGGTGTGCTTGTGATTTGACTGGCCGCCTAAAAACTGTCCGATCATCTGTGTAATAGTGTCACCGCAAGCTTGCAGTGCTTTCTCCATGCGTGAAGTTCTCGCTGGACAACCAAAAAAAAGGAAACTCATACGGCTACAGAACGGCTACGTGATGATGAGTGGCATCCCTCTCCCCCCCATCACCGTGAAAATAATCGATATACACCTAGTCACCCCCTGACTCACACAGTCCAGAAAACATCCGTTCGCGAATCAAATATTGGCTCAGCTGCATCGAAATTCGGAATGGTCCCCTCCGAAATGTGCGACCCCCTAACTAGGATAGCTGGGTTAGCTAACTCCACGTCTAACCTACAAACCCTAACTTACGTTACCCCCCTTACAAGCTAAAAAGTAAGTGAGAACGCTAACCGCGCGAATCGACTTCCCAAGATAAGCTATCCACCCTCTCTGAATTACGCTTAACCAAGATCGCTCGGGTTAACCGTGATGTCCGTCCGACGCTAAACACGCTAAAAGATAAGGGGCGGGTGGAAATAGGATCGCGTGATTACAAGTAACATTGCTAGGTTGTAAACGCTTTGCAAGCCGAGTGCAAGCTACCTGCAAGCTGTTGCAAACACCCCGAAGACTTACTAAGGGCCGCGGCCCTCGCAGCAGAAGGCTCGGGGAAGTCCCCGGGCCTTCCGAGGCGTGTTCTGTGCTTTCCCCGAAGATGCCGAAACCTTCTCGGAGGGCGCGAGGGCCTCTGAGAAGTCCCGCCGCCTGCGCACTTCCCCCGAGGAGGAGGAGGAGGAGAAGGAGGAGGAGGAAGAGGAAGAGGAGGAGGAGGAGGAGGAGGCGGAGGAGACGGAGGAGAGGAGAGAAGGAGAGGAGGAGAGGAGGAGGAGGCGGAGGAGGAGGAGAAGAAGAGGAGGAGGAGGAGGAGGAGGAGGAGGAGGAGGAGGAGGAGGAGAAGGAGGAGGAGGAGGAGGAGGCGGAGGAGACGGAGCCCCTCGCTCTCCGCCAAGAGGGGCCTCCTCCACGACGCGCTCGCCTACTGCGAGGGCCCCGTGCCCCGCGGCGCGCTCCACGAGGAGGGCGGCGGCGCGGCGCTGGCCGTGGACGGCCGGGCGCAGGCCCTGCGCGGCCCCTGCCGCGGCATCGCCGCGGGGCTCGCCTCGATTCCTCCGGCTCGATGCGGCTCGACTGCGACGGCTTCCGATTCCGACTCGATTCGGCTTTGGATTCCGATTCGGATTTTCGGGCCGGACGAAAGGGGGGGATTGGGAAAGGGGGGGTTACGAAATTTGCTGCATGCAGCTGGTTTCGGCCCCACCGAGGGGACCATTCCTTGATACATAGCCGCCTCCGGCGCCGGGAGGCGCCGGGAAAATCAGCTACGTGAGCTGATTCTCAAACCCCCCCTGACTCGATTCGGCTTTGGTCGGGGGTGGACAGACCCCCCACCCAGACACGTCAATTAGTGAAGTGTCCGTTCTCGGTTCTCGAGAGGACGCCGCGGCCGTCATTTTCCAGGCTTGCGCCCGCCAGGTTGGGGCCCGAGGTCGCTTTCACTAAACCACGTTTTACGAAAGGGGGTTCTGTCCATCCCAGATTTGGATCCCGATGTATTGGATTCCGATGTCTCACTAGAGGCATCACGACTCTGCCGATCGCCGCCGATCCGGCTCCTTTCCCGACTCGGCTGCCGACTTCCGCCGGTCCGAGTGAGTTCGATCGCCGGTTCGACTTGTCGATTCGATTCTGGGCTCTCCTGCATCGGTGGAGACACGCGCCCGGCCAGCGCCGGCGACCAAGTCGCGCTCCCCGAGCCCGTCGAGCCCGAAGGTCAGAGGAGGAAAGGGTACCCATACCTCTACCCGTCCCTCGTTTTCCCCTCTCTGGGCCTCGTGGGAGGCCCTCGCCACCGCTGGATTCGCCTCGAAGTCCTGGTCAGAACGCACCCCGGGAGAGGTCCGGGGAGTAGCGGTATCGCTACCTTCTTGCTTTCCCCAGGAGGCTCTGCTCGTCGTCGTCGTCGTCGTCGTCGTTCTGCGTCGTCGTCGTCGTCGTCGTTCTGCGTCGTCGTCGTCGTCGTCGTTGTTCTGCGTCGTCGTCGTCGTCGACGTCGTCGTCGACGTCATCGTCGTCGTCGTTCTGCGTCGTCGTCGTCGTCGTGCTGCGCTCCCGGCGCCCGCCGAGCCCCGCGGGGCCGCCCGAGGAGGCGACGGCGACCGTCTTCGAGCACGACCTCACCCACGAGCAGAGCTCCAAGGACTGCAGAGCAGAGGCGCAGAGATGCACGCCGGTTGTTGAAAGTAGGTTTCAGTCGGGCCTGTCCCTCTACCGGAGGAGTATTCAAGAATAGTAGAAAGTTGTCTGGGCACCATTTTTGATTATGTTTTTACCATTTGGGGATGTTTTTTTAGTATTCTAATTTTTCGCCCAAAATCCGCCTGTAGGGGTGCACGCCCGACCTGAAAGTCGGTATTTCTGGATTCCCAGATCCAACTCTACTTCAAGCGCCTGCCTACTTCAAGAATCGATACATGCTTCTGCTGCGTTGTGTCATTCTCTGGAAGGGCCCGAGCCCAATCCACTCTCTCCGCCTCCCTACTTCATGTCTTTACCTACTTCTTCCGACTGACGTGTATCGATGCAGCTGCCACTCCAGCCTGTGGTTTTTTCGCCCCCCTGGGGCCTCTTTGGAAGGGACCTCGCTGGGCTGGATTTTCGCCTCCGAACCCCGGTCAGAGCCTTCCAGGAAAGAGGCTCAGAGGAGAAACATATACCCATACCGCTACCCTTCAGCCGGGCATGTCCCTGACGATTGTTCATGTGTTTTTGATATGTTTGGAATGTTTTCGATGTTTTCTAACTTTCGTCCAACATCTGCATGTAGGAGGACATGCCCGACCTAACCTTGGTCAGAACCTTCTAGGAAAGAGGCTCATAGGAGGAAAAGGTACCCATACCGCTACCCTTCGCCCGTCTCCCCCTTTTCTGCGCCTCCTCGGAGGCCCTCGTCGCCACCGTTGGATTTGCTTCGAAATTTTGTCTAGAACGCACCCCTGGAGGTCCGGGGAATAGCGGCAGCGGGATCGTCTTTCTGTGCGCTCCGGTACAGTGGAAATTCATGCCAAGAAGCATCATGCTTGCCTCCAGGGTGCCCTGGGTTTCGATGGTTCTGCGATGGAAGGCGTGACGTGCCCACACCAAACATCAATGGGCGTCCTGGGGTCCCAGGGTTGGGTTTCTTGGCTTATCATACCTTGGCTCCCATACCTTTGCTAATCATAACGAAATCGGGAGCACTGTGTGTCATGCTTGTGGACGTGTGGCCACCCAAGCCGTCCGTAATTTAGCGACTCGTTGCACGCAACGGTTAAGTCAGTATGGCAAGAAGCAGTTGACGAGAGTGCAGCGAGGACTGCCCCCTGGAACGTTAGAGCTTGCCAAGAGACAGGCGGCCCAGAAAAGAAGGTCCTGCGATATAAACCGTTCACCTCTGCCTGTGGCTGGAAGGGAACACACACACACAGTGGAAGGCTTCTTGTGGTCGAGCTCGTGTCCCTCTACAGGGGGAATTTTCAAAAATAGTGAAAAAATAGTCTGGGGACGATTTTTTGACCATCTGGGATCATTTAGGTGCATTTTTGGACCATTCTTTACTGTTCGCCCAAAATCCGCCTGCAGGGGGACATGCCCGACCTGGCGCCAGGACTGCAGGGAGCCGGGGGGCGCCGACCAGCGAGAGCTGCAGCAACCCGGCGGCCCCCCCGCCGCGAGCGTGGCGGAGCGGCTCGGGGCCCGCCCCGAGAAAGGCCCCGTGGAGGCACGGGGCAGGAAGCTGCTCGACGAGGGCGCGGGCGAGGCGCCGCCGAGGCGCCCCGGGGCGGCGCCCCCGGCCGCGCCCAAGCGGCAGCTCTTCACGGGGCCGGAGGTGCAGCCGGAGGAGAAGGTCTCGGGCACCTGGGCAGGGCGGCGAGATCCACGCACACGGGGCGTTATTCCAGGAAAAGTCTGGCCCTGCCTTCGAGGAGACAGAAGGGAGCCGTCACCTCTTCCTCGGCGGAAGGCGGCGGAAAGGGGGGCGGACGGGCGGCGGAAGTAAAACGAGGCCGCCTCCGCCGGCGGAAGCTCGGCGGAAGCGGCGGAAGTAATATATGCGCCCCAAAGAGATGAAAACGTTTTTGGAGTCAGGGTTTTCGAAGTCGCCCACATATCCACTGCTCCCCGGCCAGGCCCATCTTGAACCCGGCAGCGGTGTATAATACGCGACGCCCTCCTCATTGGGCCAGGAGGGCATGTACACAGCTCCTGGGTTCAGGATGCCCCTGGCCATGGAGCAGTGGATATGTATAAATTTCGTCGCCCTATAGAGAGAACACCCGCTCAGGCAAGTCGACGGAGAAATTCGGCGCCATTTCACTCGGCATTCGCATTCGTAGTGTGCCGCGGCAGTCCGCCGTCGGTTTCGCTAATCGACTCGTGTTTCGTTGGGCACATTTGGAAGGATCTTCGATTTACTCGTCGATTAGCTGTCCAGCTGCCTCCGGCATCATGCCGGAGGCAGCTGGACAGCGCAGCATTCGGGGCGGCGACTATTCGAGGGGGCACGGGAGGCCGTCATGTGTGACACTTCGGGCCTCTTGGAAGCTTTTGGGGGCCTCTTGAAGGCCTGAAGGCCTTCGGCGGCCTCCTAGGGCCTCTTGGCAGCAACTTGGGGGCGCCGAGGAGGCTCGTGACTCCTTGGGCCGTCTGATGGCGCTCTTGGGCCGTCTGGGCGCTTTCGGAGTCCGTCTCGGGGGGCTCTCTCGGTCGTCTCGGGGCCCTATTGGGGGCCTTGAGGGCCGTCTCAGGGCTTCACTGGGCCGACTTGGGACTTTGGGACCCTCTTGAACCTCCCTTGGGCCATCTTGGAACCCTCTTGGGCCGTCCCGGGGTCCCCTTCCGGCGCTCGGGTGCCAACTTCTTGTAGGCAGTATTAGGTTTCTTGGGCCGCCTTGAACTGACGGAAGCTCGCAGAGGTGAGAATGCGAGCACCCATCAGCAACCAACGGAAAATCAATGATTTGCTTCTTGGGCCGTCTTGAGAGCCTCTTGGGCAGTCTGGAGGTCATCTTTGGCCGTCTTGGGGCCACCTTGGGCTTCCCTGGAGGCAGATTGGACCATCTTGGCGGGTTTGGTGACCTGCCTGGGCTGTCTTGAAAGCCGTCTTGGGCATCTTGAACGCCTCGGAGAGCGCGAGAGTGGGGGCGGACCGCCCAAGGGAGCCCCGGGAGGGGCGGGCGAGGGTCGACCTCTGGTTTTGCCGACGGCTGGTTTCGCCCAGCTGGCTTCGCCCGGCTGGTTTCGCCCAGCTCGTATCGCCGCCCGGCGAAACCAGCTCCGACGGCGAAACCAGCTCCGTCGGCGAAACCAGCTGCTGTCGGCGAAACCAGCTGCCGTCGGCGAAACCAGCTACCGTCGGCGAAACTGCCCGACCCGATGCACCCGCTAGGGTTCGCCCAGCCGACCCGACCCGCCCCTCAGGGCTCGCGCGTGCTAGGTCGAGCGTGCCCCACACGTTAACGTCCCGCACGCCCGACCGACCCGGCCCGACCCGCCCGCTAGGGTCCGCCCGCCCGACCCGACCCGCCCGTTAGGTTTCGCGCGTGCTCGGTCGAGCGCGCCCCACACTTTAATGTCCCGCCCGCCCGACCCGACCCGCCCGTTAGGGTCCGCCCGACCCGTCCCGACCCGTCCGCTAGGGTCCGCCCGCCCGGCCCGACCTGCCCGTTAGGTTTCGCGCGTGCTCGGTCGAGCGCGCGCCACACTTTAATAATGTCCCGCCCGCCCGACCCGCCCGTTAGGGTCCGCCCGCCCGACCCGACCCGACCCGCCCGCTAGGGTTTGCCCACCCGACCCGACCCGACCCGACCCGCCCGCTAGGGTCCGCCCGCCCGACCCGACCCGCCCGTTAGGGTTCGCGCGTGCTCGGTCGAGCGCGCCCCTCACTTTAAGTTCTTGCCCGCCCCACCCGACCCGCCCGTTAGGGTCCGCTCGGTCGACCCGACCCGACCCGCCCGCTAGGGTCCGCCCGTCCGACCCGACCCGCCCATTAGGACTCGCGTCGGCGAAACCAGCGCCGGCGAAACCAGCCGCCGGCGAAACCAGCGGGGCGAAACCAGCGGGGCGAAACCAGCGCCGGCGAAAGCAGCGCCTGCGAAACCAGCCGTCGGCGAAACCAGCAGGGCGAAACCAGCGCTGGCGAAACACCAGCGCCGGCGAAACCACCTCATGCTGGGCGAGGCACGCGGGGAAGGGCGGCCAGGACGGGAGATACAGAAACCCTGGCAGCCAGCATGTGTGGTATTCTTTGAAGAAGAAAAAACGGCATAAACATAAACTTTCGGCGCTCCGCGCGGATTTCTTGGATCCGTGCCTGGGGCCCCCGCGGGCGGCGCCTCCAGCGCCGCCCCTGGCGCGCTCCGCGGAGGGGGGCCCACTGCAGATCCAAGAAATCCGCGCGGAGCGGCAACAGATTATGTTTACGCCGTCTTTTCTTCTCCTACCTTCTACCACGCTTTAACATGCCAGGCGACACGGGGGCTGAATTCCCTAGAATTCCATTGAAATGCGGTGCCGCGCGCACCCGTGAGGAGTGCCCGGGCCAGATTCCCTTCGGATGCCTCTGTCAGATCCCGCGGGAGGGAACGAAGAAAGGAGAATGATGTGACCCACGACGGCAGCTTTCTGGGGCGTGCCAATGTCTTGGTTTACTCAGAAGCCCCCGCTTATCACGGGAGACTAAGAAGGTCACGCTGTCTCAGCTGTTGCGGACGAAGCCCGCCGGAGACATGGACGAGCCTCAGGCGGAGCCGGCTCCCGCGGATCTGGACGTCACCGCACTGCTGAAGAAGGCGAAGGATCCGACGAAGGCATCTATACAACACCATCGTGCCATGCCAGGGCCATCTTGGGCCCCAGGATGGTGTATAGACCCTCCTGGCCTCGGCCAGGATGGCGTGTACACCATGCCAGGGCCAGGATGGCCCCGGCCTGGCATGGTGGTGGTGTATCGATGCCTTCTGCGTAAAAAGGAAAGCCGGGGAGCGGACCCTTGGCGCGACAGAGAGCACGCCCGCTTCCTGCGCGGCGGGACGGCCGCCGCCACTGGTGACGGTGGCCCGGTGCCCTCCTGGGTCGTGGAGCAGCAGGGGGCAGGGCGCTCGCGCCCCGTTGGCGGCCGCCACACCACGGGCTTGCTTAGGCCAGAAGGGGCGGGAGCGCCCCGCACTGAATTCGTCTGCTGCTGCCGCCTATCACTCTTTCTCCTTTCTCCCGTCTCCTCCTCCTCCCTCCTCCTCCTCCTCCTCCTCCTCCTCCTCCTCCTCCTCCTCCTACTCCTACTCCGCCTCCCCCTCTTCTTTTCCTCTTCCTCCTCCTCCTCCCTCCTTCTCCTCCTCCTCCTCCTCCTCCTCCTCCTCCTCCTATTCCTCTTCCTCCTCCTCCTCCTCCGCCTCCTCTTCCTCTCCCTTCTCCTCCTCCTCCTGCTCCTCCTCCTCCTCCTCCTCCTCCTCCTCCTCCTCCTCCTCCTCCTCCTCCCCCTCCTCCACCTCCTCCTCCTCCTCCTCCTCCTCCTCCTCCTCCTACCCTCCCGGTTTCTTGGTTCGCGCGCGCGGACGCAAGCAGCTTCGACACCGTCTCCTTCTCTTTGTCGCTCTGCCTGTTGCGTTGTGGTTGTGGTGCTGCACCCTTGTGCTGCTGCAGGGCCCACATGCCAGGACTCTCCTCCCGCCTGCAGAGTCCAGAGCTCCATGTAGCGTGCTTCTTCGACCGACGCGCACATCCGCCACCGAACGGTGATCAGTGGAGGCGGGAGTGGGCTCACGGTTACAACGGGCTGCCCCAACAAAATGTGTTTCATTTCGTCATTTATCTCCCCCCTTTCCGAAGGCTTAATACCCGTAGGCTTGGCACAGTAATTTGCAACATGCTAGGGTCGTTCGGCGCAGATAGCCACGGTAAGAGAGACACGTGCTGGGCCCGACACACATCAGCTGCACCACAGCGCGGCGGTGGAATTTGATTAGTCCCTGCGCAGCCAGAGATGGGTAACACTCCTTCCATGCCACGTCCCCCGTGTTGAGTCCCGCGATAATGGCAGCTGCAACTCGTGGAACCAAGTGACGATCACGCGTAAACTTCCATGGTGACCAACCAGCTGGAAACGTGATGACCGAAGACTCCACGTGGCGCTCAGTACTCATCCGAGCTCACCAGCTACAGCTCATGTTGGAGAACACGGTTCGCGAAGCTTGGTGGCCCCGCAAGGGTGGTGGTGGCAACGGATCTTGTTCAGGCCGTCATCTCCAAGGCTCAAGGAAAGATGAGCGCAGCAACATAAATATTTCAAACGTCGATACCCCAGCGTGTATTTGCAGACCACCGTGTTGCAATGGCGTGCCAAGAACGCTAGGGGGGAAGCCAATCCCCTTGGGGCAAAGGACGGCGACGACGACGACGAGGACGAGGACGAGGACGAGAGGACGGGAAACGCGGACGAGGGTGAGGGGGCGCGAAGATGGAGGATTGGGGAGGGGATGGGGCGGGGCCCCTTTCCGGATGACCGGTCCTTTCGCCGTGCATCGTTTTTTGATCGCCCAGGAGCCCCAAGATATGGGCCTCCAGTCGCCAAGCGTGTCAGAAACCTCCATCTCATCTTGATATCTGCTCAACACGTTAAAGGGGTCTGGGGGTTCGTGGGGGATGGTGGACACCCTCCACGATTCCCCTGGCGCCGGCCCCCCATCCCCGCCTGCGCCCAGCCGCGCAGCTCTGGGGTCGGAGGATCGCGCCGTATCGTCGATGCATCGGCGAGGCGGCTCGATGTGGAGCCCGATATTCTCCACGCTACGGGGCCTCTAAGGAGGGAGGGGGACCTCAGACGAGGGGCGCGGGGCTGCAGGGGAAGGTGTGCGCGAAGCGGCGCGAGGCGAGAGGCGGAGGTTGCCATTGCGAGGAGGAGGCGGGCGAGAGGCGGCCTCTCGGGGAGTGACGGGGAAGGGCGGGCGAGCTCGGGCCGTCGTCGTCGTCGTCGTCTTTCTCGTCGTCATCGTCCTCGTTGATCTAGGCCTCCCAGATGAGGTCGGAGCAAATGGGGTCGGAAGATCGCACCGCATCGCCGAT